AGCTATGACTGTACATAATTAAATCATTTGCCAAGTAAACAAATTAAAGTTCAGCAATCAGCTTATTGTAAACCACAATTACCGTATTTTTCGCCATACGAGTTGCATCTTTTTGCATAAATTTGAAAGTCCTGTGACTTGTACATCGAAGCAACTAATATTCGTTGTTTTCCCCATATTTATAATCCAATTTTTGCCTGAGATCTGACAATTTCATTCATCCTGACATGGAAAAAATTGAACACTACCATTTTCAGCCACTAGAGGGCCATCGAGCATTATGGCAAGCTAATACGTAAAAGTGGCTATTAATGAGACACTTGGCTTGCCATATCAAGCCACCTTCGTCTCGCTTCTGAACTCCTGGAGCAAACGTCAAATCAGCTGCATTTCGCCGCCCAGGCAAAATGCAGCTGATTTGACCATTAAAGTTCATTTATTAAGGAAAAGTTCAACTAAAACACACCTTTACTATAATGTCGAGCAAACAAATAAATGTTTTTAAGTGTTAATCTTGTTAAATTCTTGTTAAAGTCCTCCTGTGCATGCTCCCGCGGCCACCATTTGGCAGCCAATTGATTTTTGGCACAACACCGGCCCACGGTGACGCAGAATAGATGCAACTTATACGGCAGTGCGACTTATTTATGTTTTTTCCATTTTATTAGACATATTTGGACTGATGAGACTTATATGGCAGTGCGGCGTGTACGGCGCCACGTATGGCAATTTATGTTTAAAGCAAGAACACTATTTTACAATTTCTTAAGTGTACAAGCTGAAGTAAAACTTTTTGTATTTTTAAATGTCCTACAGCTGATATTTTGTGACATCAAAACAAGTGATTACTTAAATTTGATAATTTCTGCATTTTGTTTAACTGAGGGAGGTCAGACGTTTTAACAGAAGATTTCTGGGTCTTCTTAACTGTTGGTAAGCTTTACCTGCAGTCAGGAAGAGCTCTGTAAGAGAGCAGGAAGATCTAAGAAAAAAAAAAAAACCAGAGAGGTGGAAAGCAAGAAGCAACAAAGTATTCCAGCCAGCTTTGAAGAAGGGATTCATCGGATCATCACTGACTTAAACTGCCTGGTACATCAGAGTGGCCACCCAGCAGAAAGTGTTTAATGTGAAGCAGTAAAAGAACAGCTCCTAGTCTTCCCCGAGCTCCTATTAGTGCTGTCAGTAAAGAAACAAATAAAGCTGGCATGTAATAGGAATAAAAACGAACTGCCCAGCAAAGATTTAGTGAGGAGCTACACAAAGCAGAGGCACATGTGTTTAACCCACAATTTATTATAAGGAATTGGCTCTTTTTGCTTCTTTGGAATAAAAACGGAACATTTTCTGGTGTCGCTCCTCTTTAGTAATTAGGACAAACCACAAAGAAGTTGTTGAAGATGGTTTGTTCCCCTCAGCACAGACAATCACCAATACAGCTATCATTTAACACCATGTTGTGGTGGGAAAAACAGGCCAGCACAATTAAACAAAGGTGATACTGGACCAGAGGAAACGAACACTGGAAGGTTTATCGTTTTGTTTCAACTGGACTTCCACCCTTCCATATGAGTCTCCTCATAAGCACACAGAAATGTCATGACTGAAACCAAACATTTTCAAATGTTTCAGTGTCATTAAAAATTAACTAAAGCTTTGCAGTCAATCTCTTATGATTGAACCGATCAACAGAGGATGCCATCTCCTCTGTGGTCCACACTGCGCTCAACCACCTGGAGCGGAAAGACTCTTACGTCCGTATGACCTTTGTGGACTTTATGTCTACCTTCAATACTATGATCCCCCCAAACCCTGATGGACAAAATATTCACACTAGGACTAAGCCCCTCCATTTGCAACTGGGCACTAGACTTCTTAATAAACAGACCACAGTCAGTGAGGATCCACAACTTCTCCTCCTCCACCATAACCCTCAGCACTGGCTCTCCTCAGGGATGTGTGTTGAGCCCCCTCCTGTTTACTCTGCTCACATATGATTGTGCAGCTACCCATCCAGGCTGTCACATTGTAAAGTTTGCAGATGATACAGCGGTGGTGGGATGCATCACAAACAATGATGAGTCCAGCTACAGGCAAGAGGTGGAACACCTGGAGAGCTGGTGCAAAGAGAATAACCTTCACATTATTGTGAAGAAGACAAAGGAGATGCTTGTGGACTTCAGAAGGAACAAACACACCTACACCCCCCTGAACATAAGAGGATCTGCGGTGGAAGTGGTCTCCAGCTACAAGTACTTGGGTGTACACATGAATGACAACCTCAGCTGGAGCAACAACACCACCAGCCTGATCAAGAAAGCTCATCAGAGACTCTACTTCCTCAGACGGCTGAGACGAGCTGGTCTGGGAAGCTCAGTCCTCACCTCCTTCTACAGGTGTGCAGTGGAGAACATCCTGTGCTTCAGCATCACCGTGTGGCATGGAGGCTGCACAGCTGCAGAAAGAAAAGCTTTGCAGAGAGTGGTGAAGGCTGCACAGAAATCTGTTGGAATCAGTCTCCCCACCATCAGATATCTACACCTCCAGATGCAGGAAGAGGGCCACCTGCATCATGAAGGACCCCACTCACCCAGCACACACACTTTTTGCCCCACTCCCCTCAGGAAGGAGGTTAAGTAGCATTAAGTGTAGAACCACTAGACTGAGGAACAGCTTCTACCCTGAGGCTGTTAGACTCATGAATCTCTAACCAGAATAATCACTGTGAAAAAAAATCACATCATTTTGCTGCTGATCTGTTTCAATGTTGCTGCTGATCGGTTTCATGTTGCTGCTGTTCATGCGAGCTCATCTGCTCACACAGACTCATGTTCATGTTTGTGCTGATGTTCAACGTAATGTTTTTATGCAATTAGTGCTTAGTGTATATTTAGTTGATGTTTTTCTTAGTTCATATCTTAGATCTTATTACTGTTTTTCTTTTACATTTTATAGTTTGATGTAACTGGGACCCTGTGTACATAATTTCGCTCCACCACATGTACCACATGACAATAAAGAATCTCTGACTCTGACTGACTGACTCTTAAAATAACGTTATGACACCTAAATGGAATAAATTGTGATAAAGCCACTGACGTCCAAATAAAAACTTTGTAAGACCTTCAGACAACCTGAAAACCTCAAGAGCACTTCAAAAGTTACAAGAAAAAGTTTGACTCTCAGCTACTACCACACCACTCTTTAGCTTAATATGTTTATTAACCGAGTTACAGTTTCTGTGTTAGATAAGGTTGATTAGCTGTGGCGGCCATCTTGGATAAGGTTAACTAGTTGTAGAAGTTTAATCAATAATTGCTTTTACAGTTTAAATAAAATCTGCTCACTGCTAGGCCTGTCACAATAACAAATTTTGCTGGGTGATTGTCTCAGAAATTATTGCGATAAACGATAATATTGTTCAAAATTTGACAATAATTAGTAATTATTGTCAAATTTAAGAAGATGTTGGTTAATTTTATTTTGAGTGTGGTACCTTTTTTGGCCACTGGATGGCAGTATAAGACTGAACCGAAGGATGGATAGTGAGGGAGCAAGCAGCGCGTTTAAGAAAAATGGGAGGGAGGCCCCTTGACGTGACATGGGCTGTCTCTCCGCCATTTTGAGAACTGAAAAAAAAGGAAGGACGCTCGGTGTGGTTTGAGCTCTTTAGCATAGCATTTTTCACACAAAGCTTTTAATTAAAAAAAAAATAAATAAAAATCAGTAAACAAGTTCTCAGCTTCTTTTTGCAGAGAAAAACAACTTTTTATACAAAGGCACGAGTTTCAATGGGGAATTTTGGAGCTTTGACAAGACAGAGAATTTTAAGTGCGCCTCATAGTCCAAAAAGTACAGTATACAAGAACACTCAAATAACCACTTGGATTATTCAGTACAATACTAGATTCAGAAAATACTTGATACCTGCAGTCCTACTGAACAACACGTTTAACTTTAGCTGTTTTGAATCACCCACTACCGTAAGCAATAATGTGTGGATGCATGTGCATTTTACAACTGACCTTAGAAAACCCATTAGAGGTTGTAGCTGAGAAGCTTTCCCAACCCATATTTTAATATTTTATAGTAGCATAACAGTTTTCAAGTTTGGACCAAAATGGCTACAACTCTAGCTTTTCTCAACAAGAGTCGATCTTAGTCCAAAACTCTGGCATGACAAGCGGAGGACGACATGCACGCCTTCAACGGATGCTAGACGCCTTACTAAAATAAAAATCTAAATTTGACTTTAACCCACCAGGGTCCTCTTACGTGCTCCTGTTTTGAAACATGCTGCAACAAAAGAAGCTCCTTCCTTCTTTAACAGTTCTGAAAAAGTTAAACGATTCAGCTATCCGCCCTGATTAGCACATGCCATGTGGGAATTTATTGTGACGTTACCGACATCTGTTCACAGTTTTGAAAACAAGTGAAAGGAAGAAAAAAAAAAAAAAACAGCAGACAGATGTAGATTTATGTGGTACTTTGCTGCAGTTCCTTTCTATATAGCAGGAAAACAAACTCAGCAGGCACAGAAGCAGCTCAGATAACCTCAGGCAAAGAGCCAAAGCCTCAGGTGGTTCTGATCTCTTTCTCACTCCCCACACAAAAAGATCCTCGCCAATTTGGCGAGCCTACCCACAGCTGCAATTTAAAGTTAAACAACTGGCGGTCTTGACATCCATTAGAAAGACTCCTCGTGTTAATGCATTGCTTTCTTAATGACCAGCAGTTGATTGTGACGACTGCGGGAAAGCAGAGGGACGCCTAAATATTAATGGGAAGTTGGAAACTGTGGCAGGCAGGTGAGTAGAAGAGAGATGGATGAGAATAAGGTTGACAAACAAAACTGCAACATATAACAGGAGTGAGCAAGATAAAGGTGTTTTGGCTGTTATCCTCGTTGGTAAAAGCCCTCATTTGACAATCACAGCACAGACCCACTCTCACCTTTCCCCGAGGGCCGAGCTGCAAAGAGCGCTGCGCTGAAGAGTTTTTACCTTGGGAATGCGAGAGATGATATCGGGGTATTTGCTGGTGTTGTCTTCCTGGTTGCGGCTGAATATCCGAACTTCACCGCTCTCCAGAATGTGAATCTGCAGTGGGAAAGTGAAACGATGTAGAAAAACAAATTTAGGTGATTCAAAGTCGTCTTTCAGACAAACGCAAATATTTTATCAAGTGGTTTGGATGAAAGTGTAGAAAAGATGTGCACAGCTGCCGTCAACAACAGCGCAGTACGTGTGTAGATGGAGTTACCACTTCAACGTGCGGTGAGGCAGTTGAGCCTTTTTGTTAAGATGTCTGCAAAACAATCAGTCCGGTGTCGGATTATGTGATTGTAGAGCGAGACTACAAGCTGGATCTCAGCCAATTATCACTTGTAGTCTTTGATGGCATGAATAGAGCATAATCAGTCAGGACTTCATCGTCTCACGCCGACAGCAACAACAACCCCACATTCTGTTTTCAAATTCTACTTCAAAAGACACGTTAAAGCATTTCCTGAGTAATTCTGGTGTGTATTTACTGTAAAGTTACAGTAAACGTGTAAATATATGAGCGTTAACGGTTCAAAACACAAAAAAGACCAAGTCAATTTTACGAATATTGACCTTCGCTATAACGAGCTAGTAGACATGAATACTCCTAACAGACTGATCAGTGCCTTCGTTTTAAACCTTGCCATTAATCATTTGACGTCTGTTAGCATAATACCTCATGAAAGGGGTGCACAGTTTTCTGGCCGATCACCGATTTCTAAAAAGTCTGACCCGCTGATTCAGATTTTGGCCGATACAGATTTTGTTTTCTATGCGACACTGTCAGGTGTTCCAAGGTCACGATGCACCTTCAATTTTCCATTATTTCATTGAAAAACATACCCTTGAACAATATCCTAGAAATAATACAAACATGTTTTAACTGGCCATGCTCTGAAATATAAATGAAGTTTAGACAATTGTTTAAAAAATTTTTTATTTTTTTTAATCGGTAAAATCGGTTTCTCATGAAAGTATCGTCCGATTTCCCAAAATTAAGGAAATCGGGGCGGCCGGACGATTTATCGGTGCACCGCTACTTCATGAACCACTGGATGGATTTAAATTAATTGTTCAATATTTATTAGTTACACATCTAGTGATTAACACAGGTCAACCGATCTTAAAAGTAGAAACTCAAAATATAGCAATAATTCAGTGTTTAACAGATATTGAGCTAATATTTTACTTATTTTTAAAAAATTTTACCAAAATGGCAACAATTTTTGTAACTTCTCAACACATGATGACTTCAGTCTAAACTCCGGCGTGAACGGCAGCGGACAGAAGGCCTTCCATCAAGGAATGCCGGGCTCTTACGTTCCTCATTAATTTATGTTCTTGACGTGAGAGGACTGTATTTAATGCACTATGGTGTGCATTTTGTAAATAGAATAAAGTAAAACAGAAGAACAGATAAAATTAGTGGTGTAACATAAACACAGGTTGTGTTAAGACAGCAGATTATTTGCTGTGGTCTTAATAAAAGAAATGTTTCTACAGTAATTGTGTAATGTTCAAGTACTAACTCATTATCGGTGCTCAGTGTTGGTAAAGTACCCAAACTGAAGTACTTGTATTTGAATGGAGAAAAAAAAAAAAACAGTCTCGTGACAACCCTAGAATAAACAGCCAACACGAAGTTGCAGAGACAGGATGGCTGCATGTTTTTCATCTCACTTCAAGTACCTTTAATGGAACAATTAAAAGGATTTATTAGTTACAGGCTACAAACATCGTGGCAAATCTGTGTACATGATTTTATTATAAGTTTAGCATCTTAATTCTATGGTTTCTGGATGACATTTTATCATCAGAAACAAGGTGAGTAAAAAAAAGAAAAGATACACTGCGTACACATGCAACATATGGTAAATGCTCTGCACTTAAATAGCCCTTTTTAAAAAAAAATAAGGTTCACAAAGTGTTTTGCATAATCACACATTCGCATGTAGCTGCTATGCTAAGTGCTGTGACTGGGAGCAGTTTAGAGTTCATCATGTCGAGTAAAGATATTACATCTGGAGGTGATGTGGACTAAACTGCACTCCTTAATGTGTTTCAAGGCTGCAAACAATAAATGATCTAAAAGTTATTTTCGATTGTTGTGCCTGTGGGCCTGATTTGGCCCCCGGACCACCAGTTGAATAGCCCTGCCCTTGAGTCTGTAGTTAAAATGCAGCTGGCTGCCAGTTTGTTTAAGTCTGACTTGTGTCATACAACCAGAAAGTCCATATTTTCTGTTTTGTGCACACAAATTCAGTAGCTGAAGACTTTTAAAAACTGAGTGACCTACAGCTCAATAATGTGACTGGATGAACATTGTGTAGACACAAAAGGAGCTGCCGTCTCAAGGGGAACGCCACATTGTGATCTGAAATTGCATAAAAAATGTGCAGCTTTGGAGACTTGAGAGTAATTGTGCAGCAGCAAAGTAAAATTATTATTTAAAAAAAAAAAAAAAAAAAGATGAAAAACGACTATGTGAATCATCTTTTTATGAATTTTCCAGCCAGACAACTGGATTTAATACAGCAAATACAAAAGGCAGGTGAGCACCGGTGCAACTCTTTATGCAGCGACGCTGAAAGTGGAAATGAGGTCGTTTATGAAACTGACTGACTCACCATGACACTATTTTGTTCACATAATAAATCAATTTAGGCTAAAGTCAGATATCTACAATATCCTACTCCCTTTATTTATTTTTTTAAATATGACTTTTTGCACAGTGGCACTGAATTCAATCGTCAAACAACTCAAAAATGTCATCGTACCGTATTTTCCTGCGTATAAGTCGCGTTTATTATGCGTCACTGCTGACCCCCGGGAAACGTGGGCTGGTGTCGTGCCAAAAGTCGAATGGCTGACAAAAATCGGCTGCGGGAGCGTGCACGGGAGGACTCGCTGTTGCAGTTCTTCGCAATTTAACAAGGTTATAAACAATTATTTGTTTGCTCGACAGAACAGCAAAGGTGTGTCTCATGTCAGTTTCATGTTAGCATGAATGAACATTTAAAAAGTGTCCGTCAAAAATTGTGTCATGAATATGGAAAAAAAAAAAAGTATACAAGTCGCAGGACCAGCAAATCTATGCAAAAAAACCTGTGACTTATACGCTGGAAAATACGGTAGTTTACTTTGAAAGGAACATAAAGCAGAAACTACGTTCACAGGTGAGCTCAGATTTACTGTCAGGATATATTCGTCCCTCTTTACACTATTCACAGAGTAACAAGGACAATGTTCCACTATGAAAACAGCAAAAGTGTAGAGGTTTACTATTCGCTACTTTTTACTTTCACACTGGTTTCTTGTTTTTGAGAAAGATTTCTTATTTAAGCCTTAACAATAGTAGAAATTCAAGCCCTTATCGGATAGCAATTATTAGCCTAAACTAGATGAAGACTTTTGCCTCTTTGTCCATGCTGCATGCTCTATGACTGATGTCATGGCTGATGAGGTCCTAACAAGGGCTGAATGATTTTGGAAAATATTCTAATTGAGATTTTTTAAACTCAATATTTCGATTTAATATGCGATTTTCTTTCAATGTTTTCTTCTCAGTTGCAAAAAAACTCCACCGTTTTCAGCTCCACTGCAACTCATCACATCTCTTCTTGGTCTGCTGCCTTCATACATCTCCTCCTACATGTCTCTGCGTGAGTGCAGCTCCAGCGTGCGCTCCAAGGACATTATTACCTGCAGTGTTCCCTCAGTGAGGACTGAACTAGACAAAAAGGGCCTTCTCCTACTCTGCTCCCATTTCCTGGAATATCTTACAAAAAACATCTGAAGCTCTCGACCTTGACCTCTCTAAGTGGCTTTAAGAATCTGTTGGACTCCTGGCAAGGACCAACGCAGACATGTTCCTGTTTTTAGTTTTCCACATCGCCTTATAATCTAGCTGTTTTTGCTACTGTTTTGTTGTTTTTGCCATCTTTTTTTTTTTAATAATCTGTATGCTTCTTTTATGACCATCTATTGTTGTCGTTGTTGTCCACTGTTGTCATCACTCTGTTAAAATCAGGTCTCTCTTGTAAATGAGTCCTCGAGGCTCAGTGGGATTAACATGTCTAAATAAAGATTGAATGAATGAAAAAACTCTGTTTCTGAATTTTTGTGTAGCTCCATAGCAACTTGGCTAAAATGTGTGCACGAGGGCGTTCTGTACCGCTTATCCATTGTGTTTACCAAAGCCGTAAACCAAGGCTTGGTCTCTGTATTGATGTGCATCATGTCTTTCACTATGAACTCCGTTACTGCTCGAGTTATTTCCGCGTGCCGTTTCGAATTATGTTCATACGGAGTAACACCTTGGAACAGTTCGGTCAGTGATCCCTGTCGGCTGCTACTTTGCTTACTTGAAGTTGAAGCGCTGGTCGTTGGCGTTCAAGCCATGCAACTATCGTAAATGGCTTTGTGGTGGGTTTTTTTAAGTGTTGACAAAAATGTGTGGCGTTACCTCGAGAGGTAGCAACAGCAGCAAGGCAGGTTCTGCACGACACATGTCGTTGCGCAGCGTCTTCTTTTTTTTTTTATAGCTAAAATAATTCCAAACAACGAAACGTGCTGCCGCTCTTTGGTACCAAACTTTCAGATGCAGCTTCTGTCGAGCCGGACGCCATTGTGCAACCGGTTAAAGCGCAGTGTTGACTTCTCCCGCTCCCCGCTCTGCTTTGCTCCGCTCACTCACAAGTCACGCAACCAGATCACGTGACCAGTCAAATTGCGGCCTTTGTGATTAGAAAATCTCGTTTTATCATATCGCGATATTATTGCAAACGCAATTAATTGTTCAGCCCTAGTACTAACTATTGATTACATCACTTCAAGGTTGACTGAACTATCTCTTTGACGTGCGTCAGTGCAGCTGACCTCTGCTCCAAGTCTCTTTTGGTTCGCTCACTTCATTTCTGAAAGCTTCCATCTTTGTGGCTCGATTAGCGATTCATGAACAGACGGAGGCAGCTTAAAGAACTGTTCTGTGAAGGTACCTATAGCAATAGCGAAACTATCTAAACGTGTCTGTAATGACAGAACGAACCCTAGCTTAAAAATCAAACGAACAAATAAATAAATAAATGAGGATGTCACTGCATTTATCATCACAACCATTCACGATAGCGCACCAGCTGTCAGAGCGGAGGTGGAAGAAAAGGAAGCTGCACCAACTCAAACCTGAAAAAGGGGTGCCATCAGGCAGGTGCTAAAAACAAAAACTGTTCTTGAAACAATACAAAAAAAAATCCTACGGTCTTCTCCTCGAAGTCTACCTGCTGATAACGTTCTTTGAAATGGCATCTAAAATGATCTCTAATTTAAACCATGCTAACCTACAATCCATTAACTACATAGTATGCATCATATCATATTTAGGGGCATTTTCTACATTAGCACCACTGCGACAACTCATTTAGCTCATTTTCAGTTTTTCTTTTATTTTTCTTCTACTTGCCACAATCTCAAACAGACAAACTAATAAAAGAAGAAGAAAACAGATGCGGAGTAATTGTGATTCATCTGCTGCCACACAAGATGGGGACAGTCTTCTGGCAAGTCACAAACCACTTTCTCTCGCGCACTCTCACACACTCGCATACACTGATGGGGGAGTTTTGAGCAGCGAGTGTATCACGAGCCCCCCTGCTGGTAGTCTGAGGTAAGGTCCACTGCAGTGAGCAAACGGAAGCAGAAAAAAGGAAACGTCAGGGAGCTTTCAGCTTCATTCCTGCCGTCACGTTTCTCTCCCCTCCTCTCATTCAGCTCCGTTCAAAGGCTCTTTATTGGCACAACAGTCCAAAATTAACAAAACAGCTGAAGGGGTTTATATTACAGGTACTGTATTTTTTCTGTCCTTTCCTTAAATTACCTTCACTACTATGTGTCTTGCTCGCTCAGTCTCCTGCCTATAGTCTCACCTAGGCCTGTCACGATAACAAATTATGCTGGACGATTAATTGTCTCAGAAATTATCGCGATAAACGATAATATTGTTTGAAATTTTACAATAATTAGTAATTATTATCAAATTTAAGACAAAATGTTGGTTAATTTTTGTGCGTAGTACCTTTTTTGACCACTGGATGTCAGTATAAGACTGTTTGAACCGAAGGATGGATAGTGAGGGAGTGAGCAGCGTGTCTCTAAGAAAAATGGGAGGGAGGCCCCATGACGTGACATGGGCCGTCTCTTGTTCCCGTTTTTCGGTTCTAAACATGGCGGACGCTCGGTGCGGTTTGAGCTCTTTAGCATAGCATTTTTCACACAAAGCTTTTAATAAAAAAAATTAGTAAACAAGTTCTCAACTTCTTTTTGCAGAGAAAAACTTTTTACACGAAGGCACGGGTTTCAACCGTGACTTTTGGAGCTTTGACAAGACGGGGTTTTTTTTCCCCGAGGTCAGCCTGTTAGCTTAGCTCGTAGCTTAGCTCGTAGCTTAGCTGCTTATAACGATCCAAAAACACAATTTTGGACAGTTAAAACAGATTTTAAAAGAGAAAAGAGAAAGGGAGGTGTCAGTGAAGAGCACCGGAGTTGAGCTTTTTGTCATTCAGTGTCTTTAGTAGAAAGAGACACGAAGAAACGATAAAGCCGATAAATGAAAAGGAGGTCAATAATTTTCATTAATCATGTGATTGATTTATTGTTTATTGCGACAGGCCTAGTCTCACCTACAGCCACTCTATCCCATCAGCCACCAGGCCGACAGAGGCAGTGGAAGCTTGCTCTGCCCACAGGCTAAGAGTAAAAGTGGTACTACTGTTCATCTTAAAAGAATGGGCACAGGCGTGTAATACAGCAGGCAACAGCAATACGTCATATAAAAAAAATCACAGCTGAAAGGTATGCACATACAAAATTCAGCAGGTGCATGCAGGGTGTCAGTTGCAATCCCTCACTTCTCTGTACATGCACATAAATACACACCTGTGCCCGCTCCCCGTCGTATTTGTACTCGCAGGTGAATGCCGCCTCGTCAAACCTCTTCATCACCTCGCCTACACCCTTGGTGGGGTGAGCCAACATGGGTCTCAGCGGTACGCCTGCAAGACGAAGGAAGGAAGGTGGAAGCCAAACAAAAAACAGAATTAACGCACAAACACAGCCATGCATTATTTATGACCGTTAAATAAAAAGGCGGGATAGTTATTGCAAATTAGCCTTAAAAAAAAAAAAAAGATTTGTCTGATAGAAAGTGACGCTAACAGGCCTCCAGGTTAAGAGAGCGAGACACTTCTTGAGTCTGCTTGAGAAGGAAAAAGAAAACTGCTCAAGAGCTGTGAAATGTTTCTTCTATGACACATTCTCAGATGAAACACCAACATTACTCCCACAACTGCTTCTGCGACAAAACCACAGCTGAAATAAGTTGTTTGTGCTTTTATTTGGCTCTAATATTAAAGTTTTCTGACTCACGTCCCCTTGGGCTGTTAAGTAAAGCTTCAAAAGCATCAGAAAAGACAGAACGACACAGAAAAATCCTTCAGCTGCAGCTTTTAAGAGCAAGAAGTTGCTGTTTACTTCTAATCAACTGGTACAAACAAAAAAAAAAACAGTTTCTAAATATACACTTCAGAAGAACAATCCTCTATAACGAATGTCTACAATGTTTGAGCATCACTTTGACTTTCAGACTACGTCCACACTAAACCTGAGCTCAGTATTTGGAAAATTCACTCAGGTTTAGCCATTTCTGTTTATTTGTTTATTTAAGGATCCCCATTAGTTTCTACCGTAGTGGAGACTATTCTTCCTGGGGTCCACACTTAAAACACTGCAATTAAATCAAGCTTTTACAAACATGCAAAAAGACGTAACAAAATACCTAAGATAAAAACAAATTCAAAATATAAAAATCAATATTTTACAAGCATTACAAAATGAAAAAACACTATTTAAACACGCGCAAGAATTAAAATCACAAAAAAAATCACCAATTACAACGTTAAACAATCTTGATTTCCATTGTAAATTTATCAATTCAATTTTATTTCATTATCTATTGTAGATTTTTTTTTAAAGATTCTTTTTAAAATTAACATGATCAGCAATTAATGTAATTCCAGATACACAGCTGTTCTTTTGAGAGCGTTAGTCCTGGGCAGAGGTCATGTAAAAGTAACAAGAGAGGCTCGTCTAGTATTAAAAGCACGTCTATTGCAGCTGGTAACAACTGTGAGAAAAGGCTAAAAGGTTTATGTGTAAAGACAGAAGGCGGCATGCTAGCCTGTCACGAACTTTCATCCACGACGCATGAAATCAACGTTTGTTCTAAAAGGACATCCGAGTGCTAGCCTTGTAGCTTTATTTTGAACTACCTGCAGTTTATCCAGATGTTTTTTGAAGCACTTGACCAAACGGCTGAACATTACAGAAGTTGACAAAGAACTAAAGACTGTATAACTAATTTTCTTATTTCCAGAGACATAAAATGTGCGTTACGCCAGATTATAGCAATGTTTCTGCTCATCTTAGTCACGATCTTATTAATTTGTGTAGACCATGAAAGAGTTTTGTCTATTATGACTCCCAGTAGCTTAGCCTTCTTCAACTTATTCTTTTGACTGTTTTTGTACAAAGATATGCAACTTCTGAGTTTGTCTTACAAACTGTGCAGAATAAGTTGGACAGACTGTGGCAGCCATCATGAACTGCGTTGACTCCAAAAGTTAAGTTATAGAGGAGTTGTTCAGGAGACTTGTTGCTGACAGTACAGACAAATGCACACCCACCTTTAACATCAGCTGCAGGCGATATAGAAAAAAAAAAAACCTCTGCTCCTCTAAATATGCAACACTTCAGAATGGAACAGCTTCTAAATAACAATTGCTCGCATGATAAAGGAGCAACTAGATTTGTTTAATTGAGCAAAAACAGCCAATTCAGTCTTGTTTTGTGCAGATGGTGGCTGGTATCCATGTCCTACCTCGACGACAAAGCTCATCACAAACCGTAACCTAAAGCTAATTCTGATCCTAATGGTATATTTTTTAAAGACAAATGGTTAAAATAAGAGGCTGTACTCCACTGATTAGCTCAATAACCACACAGCAGTCGTCGTTTAGGATGTTATAAACTGACATTTGAGTGGCTGCTTACCTGGAGTTAGCTTGCAGTGTTTGGGCAGCTGGTCAATGCCTTCTTTTAGCAAAACGGGGATGATGGCGTCATAATTGGGCATCTCGCTGCACATAAAGTAAAAATAAATAAATGTTTTAAAATACTTCAAGGAGGCACAAAAAAACAGACTGCAAAGTAAATGGAGGGAGTTGAATTAGTTACCAGTAGGTTTGTTTCAGAATCAGACTCTTCTCTTCGATCATGGCCCGCCTGCTCTCAGAGCTCATACCCTTCCCTGCGTCGATCACAGCAGGAGGAAAAGCTGGATGGATAGAAGGGAAAACTTGTTTTTCAAGCAGATCTGAGCCAGTGGTTGAAATTCTGCCTGATCAATATTAATTAGATGGAAGTTAGAGGGATCAAAAATCCAGGAAATATACAAAAAATGAGGTTGCAGCTGCAGATTGATGAAGTTTTTTTTTTTTAAAATGTGTTTTAAATGTGTCTGTCATGAACCAAAGGATGGTTTTTAAATGGGTTGTACATCTACAGTTGAATAAACAGCCGCCACCGCTAAGCAACTTTTGCGAACACGAAAATTGAAACAACTCAACCAGTTTTACAGATACGGAGCTAAAAATAGGTGCGGTAGTAGCTGAGAGTGATCCCCAACTTGTACACTGAGCAATAACTGATTGTGTGATTTTCTTTTTGTTTTGTTTGTTTAAACAAACCGCTGGAGTGGTTCAAGCCGAGGATCAGTTCCTCCAAACCCGAGGACATCTTGAGCCAGAAAAGAGTAGAGTGCACTCTCCGGGTCGGGGAGGAGGTCCTACCCCAAGTGGAGGAGTTGAAGTATCTCAGGGTCTTGCTCATGAATGAGGGAAAACTGGAGTGAGAGATCGATAAGCAGATAGGTGCAGCGTCTGCAGCGAAGCGGGTGCTGTACCGGTCTGTCGTGGTGAAGAGAGAGCCGAGTCAAAAGACGAAGCTCTCAATTTATCGGTCGATCTTACGTTCCTACCTCATCTACGGTCATGAGCTTTGGGTTGTGATTAGGCCTGTCACAAAAGCAAATTTTTCTGGGCGATTAATTGTCTCAGAAATTATTGCGATAAACGATAATATTGTTTGAAATTTGACAATAGTAATTGCTGTCAAATTTAAGAAGAAATGTTGGTTAATTTGTTTTGAGTGTAGTACCTTTTTTTGACCACTGGATGGCAGTATAAGACTGTTTGAACCGAAGGATGACTAGTGAGGGAGCGAGCAGTGTGTCTCTAAGAAAAATGGGAGGGAGGCCCCTTGACGTGACATGGGCTGTCTCTCGTCGGTTCTCAAAAAGGCGGACACTCGGTGTGGTTTGAGCTCTTTAGCACAGCATTTTTCACACAAAGCTTTTAATAAAACATCAGTAAACAATGGGTGTCTGGGCTTTCCCTTAGAGAGAGGGTGAGACGCTCGGTCATTCGGGAGGGACTCAGAGTAGAGTCGCTGCTTCTCCGCGTCGAGAGGAGCCAGTTGAGGTGGTTCGGGCATCTGGTTAGAATGCCTCCTGGACGCCTCCCTGGTGAGGTGTTCTGGACACGTCCCACCAGGAGGAGACCCAGAGGAAGACCCAGGACACGCTGGAGGGACTATGTTTCTCGGCTGGCCTGGGAACGCCTTGGGCTTCCCTCGGAGGAGCTGGGCCAAGTGGCTGGAGAGGGAAGTCTGGGCCTCCCTACTTAGGCTGCTACCCCCACAACCCGAGCCCGGATAAGCGGAAGAAAATGGATGGATGTTTGTTTAAAACTGGATTTAACTGTTGGCATCAACCCAAGTTTTGTCTGTTAGCAAAAATTCTCATAAAAATTTATTGTGAAATTTGAGAAAGCGATCATTTGATCTGAAACGCTTTAAATTTTAGAGCCATGCCATTTCAAGATTGCCACCACAATGTTAAACTCAACAAATGGCTGTAATTCAAGTACGAATGCAGCAAACAGGACATCATTTACACGGTTTAACTAAAACAGCTCCATCATTAGTCACAAGACGATCTTAGTCTAAAACTCTGTGACATGAAAGGCGGCGGGTGATATGCATTTCCTCAAGGAAGTCTAGACCTTTCAAATTAAAAAAAGGAGGAAGAAAAAAGTTTGCAAGCCAAAAGTGTCAGTCTGGGTGTGTTTGAAAAGGTCAAAATAAGAAAAACATGAGCCCAGAATAATTTATTTTGTGTCACTACATCACATTAATAATTAGGTTTGAATCGTCACTGAATAATAAGTTAAGAGAAATGAATCGGTCTAATGATCCACTGCAGACCCGAGTATAAAAAAAGTGCTCCTAGTTGACCGGCCTGATTAAATAATGGTGAAACAAATAAATAATTTATTGGGAAAAACATTTCAACACCAGAGCAAGGATCAATGTAAATTTCCCCACAGAGTTCCTCGTGTAATTGACTCTTTTTTCTTTAAAAAAAAAAAATAATAATAAATGCATACACACCTTCAGCTGTGACTAAACAACACGTTTTATTAAGTTGGGATGAAATTCATCTGTAATTCGGTGTCTGTGATGTTGCTGAGAGCGAGTCGGAGCGGTGCCAAAAGCGAGTGGCGCAAGATGGGACGTCGAAACGACATTTATTTTTATTTACGTGACGAGTTTAGCAGCATTACTGGAGAGAAAATATGCTCCCCGTGTAAAACTACACACACGTGGTCGCATACATCGGGGAGGTGTGAGGTTGTATACTGGCATTAACACGTTAAATAATGTTAATTTGATTTTTTTTTCTCCTGTGCTAATTAGTGCAATGAATATTTTAACACTGATTTAAAGAGTAGACTCTAAATAAAACATTGCTGTGCTTCACTCGCCTCACTACTTGGTTTAACTTTGAGGTGTGCTCATCTCAGGAGTACCTAAACTTTGCCACACTGGAAGCTAATAAGTGAATGTTTAAAGCGTGTGAAGCGCCACACTCTGAGCTGAAGAGTAAATGTATAGTTTAGGCTGCAGTAAGGTCCCGTTCCAGGTTTAGACGGTCTGAGGTGAACGTGGACCGTTGTGAGAAAGGCGGATCATAAATCATGCAGGAATAAAGCTAACGTTGGCCTTTCTGGAAAAAGAAAAGAAACTAACTTCGTAGGTGCAATTACTCACAAGATAACACATTTCATATTTAAAGACCTACTTTTAAATAAAGTTTTGGCCAAAAGGCTTCTTTCAAAGCATCCTGCATTTAACCAAAATGTCCATGCTCAATCATCCAGGTACACAATCCAACATTTTTCAGTCGGGTCATCTGGACAGGTTTCTTTTTTTTTCCGGAAACGTTTCACTTTCCATCCAGAAGGCTTCATCAGTCAAGAAAACGCACAACACAAAACTGATTCTTCCCCCAAACAGCTTACTCCAAAGTGGAACAAACCAGTTATGTTGGTGCTAAGATGGTGTCTGGAGCCGGCCCTCTTCCTCGTCGACAGTCATGTCAAACTGGTTCAAAACCATCTTAGCACCAACATAACTGGTTTGTTCCACTTTGGAGTAAGCTGTTTGGGGGAAGAATCAGTTTTGTGTTGTGCGTTTCCTTGACTGATGAAGCCTTCCGGATGGAAAGTGAAACGTTTCAGAAAAGAAACTGTCCAGATGACCCGACTGAAAATTGTTGCATCATGCATTTACTTTATCTCGTTTATATTTATCGTCCAAATTCAATAATGTTTTTACCCAGGTTTGTTAGCAAAACACCTCGTGAACCAGTGGGCAGATTTTAATGAAATTTACAGAAAATTATCACTTGATGAACATTTTAATTGGACGAGGTTTTAGTCAACCCCATTCAAGATGGCTGCCACAGCCAAGTAATAGCTTCAAATCAGTCCATTTTACAAATAATGAGCTAAAGTTTAGCATAGCAAAGAGTCACATCCAGGGCTTAATTTGAGCTGGATCCTGCTGGAACAGGATCCGGGAACTCTCTTATTTTGATAGGGTGCGTTTCGGTAACAATTTGCTTGGATCCGATAACTCTCAGGTTTAACAATAATAATAATAATAATATTATAGACAGATATGACTGCCTTGAACAAATAAAACTTATATTGGATAAGTAAACTGAAAATAATTACATAAACACTCATTTTAAACACAACAGTCACTTATGAGCATACGAGCTGCCCCTTCAAGTAAGCGTTTCCGCGTCTACCCTTGAAAAAATCTCCGCCGCTAAAAGTCCAAAGTCATTGCGCAATTTATTAAAAAAAAACTCAAAAATATAATTAAACAGCACAACAAAATTGCAAATCAGTTCGACAGTTCAAGAGGGTCATTAATAAAATGTTGATTATTTATTAAAAATACAAGAAAAAACTATTGATGTGTATCATTCACATTACGTATCAAAACAACAGTGCTAATATGACAAAATAACAGCTAGGACGCTTGAGAGAAGCGGAGTGTTTACAAATGTAGGTAAACGTAGATGTTGAACAACTCGTTGAAATACACCAAAATGCAGGAAATCGCATCAACTTTATTCAAAATTTTCTGGGTGAGGACACTCAGCCTGCTATTTGCTTTCCAGCATTGACAACACAACACATACTGTGACTCTGTTAGCAAAATATCTTGTGAGTCACAGGATAGATTTTAATGAAACTTTCAGAAAGTAATCACTAGATGTACATCTACGAGTAATGACACTATGGAGTCAATCCAATTTAAGATGGCTGCCACAATAATCGATTTCAGCCAACACAAAAATGACTATAACGATGTTTTACTCAAGCTTGTTGTGAAAGTAGCTGAGAGTCATTCATAACAAATACTTTAAATGGTATGGTTTAAATACTTTAGAAGGTGTAATCTTGCATGAGCTCGTGTGTAATGTTTAATAGGTTTGTCATTTATTTTCCAAATAAATGGCAGTGAAGACCATTTATTCCTGTAACAATGCTACCAGCTGCTAGCAGAAGAGGACATAGAAGATCGGCAGGTTCATACTGTCCCTTAGTTTCCTTCTACAGGGAAAAGGTTCTCACTTCCACAAGTCCTGCAAAGTGCTTAATGGTGTTTCACATTCACCCATTCACACCAATAAGGTACTTTCCATTTTATATGTCCACTCCACATACGCAGCTCCTTTTAAATTCTCACCCATACACTGATCGAGAGCAATGGAGGGCGAGGATCCCCAACTCACAAACTGAGTCACAGCCGCTCAGGTTCACTGGACATCCAACTGATATAATAAAGTTTAACACCGACTGCAAGATGGAAGTCCATAAAGGTAGTACCCTAATGGGCTGCAACTGGCTGGAGAATCTAAATTGTGAGAAAATTGGCAGTTTTTCTGCTGTGGGGTTTGCAACCAAGTAACCAGCAAGCTGTTTGTGCAGCCAGTTACTAAAAATCACAGCTTTATTTGTGGGCACATCTTGAAAAACGGCATTCCGGGCAGCGCACATTCGATCACTGCCCACATCATAGCTGCCTCGGCTCACTTCATATCCATCTTGGCACCGTCTTCACATTTGTGATTTAATCTGCAGGATTACAGTTTTGAAATGAAGGTAGACCAATTTGGACCAGATTTAAAACAATTAGTATTGATCATGGATGTGATTTTTAGACATGGACATGTTTTCCGTCAGAGGAAAGTTCCCCTGCAGGCGTCAAGCTACAGCTCTTACACTGCTGAGACAGGTTGGACGTCCGAAACAAAATCAAGAAAGATTTAAAATGGATAAGATACACCCACAAATCTGTGGCTATTTTAAAAGGAAATCTGTTGCACAAACATTTTAATCATGTTCAAAATTAAAAGCAACTCTTCAGCAGTCACAGCCCATAAAGTACATAGGGGTGGGTGATGTGGCTCAAACATAATATCGTGATATTTCAGAGCATTCTGACGATAACGATACATTTTGTGATAAAAAAAAAAAATCATACTTATACATTTGACAAAATTAACTTAACATGTTGCTTTGCAGTATTATATAAAAACTAAAATAAACAACAAGGGTTAATTTTACTGCAATTACTTTAGTGAAGTATTCAGTCTCAAAGTATAAAAATGATCCTTCTGTTATTTAGATTGAAAAAGTCTGCACAAAATATAGAACAAAATCCACCACAAAAACTAAAGTGCAGGTGCAGTTCCCAAATAAACTAAATAAAATGAAAGTTTAAGATCTGTTGAGCATAAATGTAACATACAAGAAAAACATGTTGCCTTTAAATGAGATATAACTTCCAAAACTTGTGACAAATGCTGAGAACAAATGAAATGCTGCCTGAAACGACTGCTGATCAGAACCATCAGCCAATTTCCTGATCCTCAGGAAAGCAGCTGGTCTCGAGGTTTGAGCTGCACAGTTCCCACAGTTCCCAGTTGCTGTTATTGTGCACAGACTCGGGTAAGTCTCCGACTTGATCATAAATCGGTGGTCGATGCATAGTCAGTGTTTCCCTACCATTATACAAGCGAGGTGTTCCACCGTGTCAACAGAACCGAGCACACCGTCTACCGAACCGAACTGCGCGCACACCCCCCCAACCCATCGGCACCGACGTAGCTCCAAGTTAGCAGCACGCTAGCTAAAGAGCTAAAGGCAACGTCCTCCGTCACGTTGAAGCTCGAAAACTGTCGGGACAAACAGCGCTCAGCTCAGATGTGTCCGTTCAAGCCTTCACCTTTACAACTTGAATATCGCTGCATGACTCACATGAGCGTAATCCGCCAGAGATGGGATCAGTTCCTCCAAATCCGAGGACATGGTCTTGAGCCGGAAAAGGGTAGAGTGCACTCTCCGGGTCAGGGAGGAGGTCCTGCCACAAGCGGAGGAGTTCAAATATCTCGGGGTCTTGTTCACGAATGAGGGAAAAATGGAGCGAGAGATCGATAGGCGGATAGGTGCGGTGTCTGCAGTGAAGCGGGTGCTGCACCGGTCTGTCGTGGTGAAGAGAGAGATGAGTCAAAAGACGAAGCTTTCAATTTACCGGTCGAGCTACGTTCCTACAGTCATCTACGGTCGTGAGCTTCGGGTTGTGACTAGGCCTGTCACAATAGCAAATTTTGCTGGGCGATTAATTGTCTCAGAAATTATTGCGATAAACGACAATATTGTTTTAAATTTGACAATAATTAGTAATTACTGTCAAATTTAAGACGAAATGTTGGTTATTTTGAGTGTGGTACCTTTTTTGACCACTGGATGGCAGTATAAGACAGTTTGAACCGGAGGATGGATAGTGAGGGTGCGAGCAGCGTGTCTCTAAGAAAAATGGAAGGGAGGCCCCTTGACGTGACAAGGGCTGTCTCTCTTCAGTTCTCAAAATGGCGGACGCTCGGTGTGGTTTGAGCTCTTTAGCATAGCATTTGTCACACAAACCTTTCAATAAAACATCACTAAACAAGTTCTCAGCTTCTTTTTACAGAGAAAAACAACTTTTTATATGAAGGCACGGGTTTCAACCGTGAATTTTGGAGCTTTGAAAAGACGGAGGTTTTTCTCCAAGGTCGGCCTGTTAGCTTAGCTTCTCAGCTTAGCTGCTTTTAACGAGCCAAAAACACGATTTTGTATAGTTAAAATGGATTTTAAAGAGAAAGGGAGGGGTCAGTGAAGAGCACCGGAGTTTAACCTTTTGTCATCCGGTGTCTCCAGTAGAGAGAGAAACGACGAAACGATAAAGCCGATAAATTAAAATAAGTTAGATCATTTCCATTTATCGTGCGATTAATTGATATGTTGTTTATCGCGGCAGGCCTAACGCCATGAAATTAGCATATCGTGATATAATTTATTTTCCCGGGGAAGTTTTTTTTTTTTTAACCAGTATTACTATGAAGGATACTACCTAAAGAACTAACGCAACATGACACAGTAAAAGTACACAACTGTAAAGAGCTGGCACTTATGCAGTCGCACACAAATCAAATGAACATTACTGACATTTGTTTTTGTTTTTTTTTAGTGACAGCACTTCCTGAGCTGTGGTGCAAAGAAATGTGACACAGACGGGGGCTCTATGACTGGAAATAACTTAGTTTAAAAGCAGCTGCACAACTCAGACGGTTTTTACTTTCAGTTTAAAGTTTGACAGGACACAATTTGGGATTTGGATCCTGTCACTTACACTGAAAGTCATTTTTTTTGGGGCTGTTGTGAACAGCAGGAACGATTAGAGTGAACAGGAGGTGGCTACCTTGTCCAGGTGGGGTCAAACAGACCGCTTGGCTCAGAGCAGAAAGCACACTTTGTTCAGCGAGGCCAATCCTCAGCTTCCCAGCCAGGGACCTGCCCATCAAAACATCAACAGTCAGTGCAGACCCTCTTTAGCACCTGCTAAACATGATAAGCGTTACACAGTCAAACGCGCACACGCAGGGAGGAGCGAGGTCTCTGGATTACATGCGTGTGTATAAACGTGCAGATTCCTGTGGTCACACCAGCAGTCGATCTGTGTGTGTGTGTGGGAGGGAGTCTTATTTTACCTGACAATGTAGCGGGCCTCTGAAAAGCGGCATGCCACAAAGAGGCCTTTGATGATGTCGATTTTCTTATTCACGGCCTGAGGCAGGCAGGAGGAAATTGAGATTCACAGAGGAAGAGCGAGAGGAGACAGAATGCAAAAAGACCGAGGTTAGCAGCGTGTACATGTTCAAAGCAGGAAGAAAAAAAAAAGACTCATCAGTGACGGGGGAAATAAAAGAACTAATTGCAGGAGAGAGATTTCAGCCAGGTGAGAACTTGACTTAAAAATTACCCTCAGAAGTAGACAAACTAATAATTTCTCATCTGGTACATAATCACATTAACATTTCTCAGTAGTAAAGTGAAACTATTCTCCAAAGACTGCTCTCCTCTTAATAAAAACATTCTGCGGCTCACCGAGTTCCCACTCATGCTGGCAATTTCCTTCAATTTCCTGAACACGCCCCCCGCAGTCAGGCTGGCCGGCTGGAACATCATGCGCTGGTTGCTACGGGAGCTCTCGGCCACAAGGCCCAAATCTCCCTTCTCCTGCGCTTCCGCTTTAATTTTGTCCAATTGTCGCCCTGGTAACAAGAGCGAAACGGTAAACGGCGGCCGACTCTTCGGCTTATGAGCGCAGAAAGATTGCGTCTGCACGGCTAAACGTTGGCGCGACTGTGTTTACCGGTTGCTTGAGCGACGGCTTTCATCAGCACCGTTTCCCCGACGCCGAGCTCCATCCCGAGGTAGGCAGGGCCCAGCTGGTTCAAACACAGGTACACGCAGCACAGCAGGTCATCTAGGAGAAGGAGCAACACGCAGACGTGTGTTTAAAGCGCACGCCAACAAAGAGGAGCGCAGGCGCTCACAAAAACAGCAGTCATAAGCTCTACTAAAAGACTCGCACAGCAACACACCGAGGGAATACAGACTGCCAGCCGTCAGCAAAACACAAAAACAAGATAAACACGAGTCGACAGCGGAGATTTTCAGGACGTGAACCACCAACATATCAGCATAAACTTCATCCAGATCCCACAGGCATGCACACGCACAGATCCACAAAGAAAAACACTTTTCTGTGCGTCCTGGCTCCTGCCGTCCGCTCCTTGATGGAGTGGCTGGCAGCCAGCCGACTGCGAGGCGGCATCAGGATGAATTACGGCAGAGATGAAGCAGCGTTTACCTGGAGAGAGCAGCAGCACGGAGCGAAGCAGGTTCGACAGCGTCTCGATGTTCCTCAGCCTGCGAACCGACAGAAGAAACACACAAGGAGGGTGACAGACATGAAGCCCATCATGTAAATACTGGACGGAAGGAAATGAGATTCATCTGAAGGTTTTTAATCCTTAATGGGACCCGACTAGGATTTTATTTGTGAAATACTAAATGTTGATTTCAGATAGTAAATCACTGCTGAGGCCAGGCCTGTCGCGATAAACAATAAATCAATTAATCGCACGATAAATGAAAATTCTCTACCTCGTTTTCATTTATCGGCTTTATCGTTTCTTCGTGTCTCTCTCTCTACTGAAGACACTGGATGACAAAAAGTTCAACTCCGGCGCTCTTCACTGACCCGTCCCTTTCGCTTTTCTCTTTAAAATCCGTTTTAACCGTCCAAAATGGCGTTTTTGGATCGTTAAAAGCAGCTAAGATGAGAAGCTAAGCTACGAGCTAAGCTAACAGGCCGACCTCAGGAAAAAACCTCAGTCTTGTCGAAGCTCCAAAATTCACAACTGAAACTCGTGCCTTTGTGTAAAAAGTTGTTTTTCTCTGCAAAAAGAAGCTGAGAACTTGTTTACTGATGTTTTTAATAAAATTTTTGTGTGAAAAATGTTATGCTAAAGAGCTAAAACCACACTGAGCGTCTGCCCTTTTGAAAACCAAAAAACAGGAAGCCCATGTCACGTCAAGGAGCCTCCCTCCCTAAGTGACACGCTGCTCACTCCCTCACTATCCATCCTTCGGTTCAAACAGTCTTATACCGCCATCCAGTGATCAAAACAAGTACCACACGCAAAACAAATTAACCAACATTTCTTCTTAAATTTGACAATAATTACTAATTATTGTCAAATATAAAACAATATTATCGTTTAATCACAATAATTTCTGAGACAATCGCCCAGAAAATGTATTATCGTGACAGGCCTAGCCGTGGGTTATGTTATTCAAAATGTTTAGAAGATAAAGCACTTTTTTCATTCTCAGAATGAATTCCTAATCAAAACTATTTCATTTTGCCTGTTTCATTCCTCTTTGTTAAGAAGTAATGAGCTCGATAAAAAAGTGTAAAAAAAAAAGCAGAGTATTTAAAGTCCTGGCAGTCGTTTTCTTATTGACCCTCATGCTGAAGTTTAAAACTAAAAACTGTTCAGAGTTATTTTGCAAACTCATGCCACATGCCTTGTATCTGCAGATATAGCTAAGATATAGACATTGTTAGGGTTTCAAAGCTCAGCTGGCTGTGGTGGCCATCTTGAATTGGGTCTTCTTTCAACTTTTCCCTCTTCATGGGTCTCCACAGCGAGTCATCCTCCTCCATCTCACTCTGTCCTCACTCCATCTCCCTCCATGTCCTCTCTAACTGCATCCATACATCTCCTCTTTGTCCTTTTCCTGGCAGATGCATTTCTAACATCCTTCTACCAATATATCCACTGTCCCTCCTCTGGACATGTCCAAACCATCTCTCTAACTTTACAGTTGTTCAACCTGTGCTGTACCTCTGATGATATCATTCCTGATCTTCTCCATCCTTGTCACTCCTCAGGAGAACCTGAACATCTTCATTTCTGCCACTTCCAGTTCTGTCTCCTGTCTTTTTGTCAATCTTGAATTTGTCCATCTTGAATTTGGCCATCTTCAATAGGGTCAATGAGCATTAAAATAAAATAAATTCATTGAACTCCATTGGATGATTGATGAGATATTCTGCTTACAGACAGGCTTTAAACAAATGTCATGCAGCCAGTTAGTGCTTAAAGTATGTGCTGAAAACTACCCTCAGCTACTACCACACGAGGTTTTAGCTCCGTTTCTGCAAAACCCACTGAGTTATAGCTGTTTTTGTGTGGCAGCCACCATCATCATATCATAATCATACATCATAGCCTTTCTTGTTCTGCGGTGGGGAATAAAATCTAAGTTATTAAGCCTTCACACAACGTGATTAATTTTTAATAGTTCTTCATGTTCTCTGCCCCATCCAGCATATTAATCCAAATCGCTTTTCTTTCTCTACAGGATTTATTTCAGCTCGTTTCCAGCAGGTTGTGTGAAACGTGGACGTGCAGAAACGTGCTGGAACGTGTTCACTTTCTGAAAGAGTCACTTCCTCCACCCCCTCAAACATGACGCCCGCCGCCTTTTCCTCCATACGGAGCTCTTACCTGCCAGAGTCCTCTTCAATTTTCTCAAAAGTGCGAGCCACTGCCAAGTACGGCACTCTGGAGAGAGATGAGCGTGTAGTTAGCAGGCGAAGCATCGGCGCCGACAGATTTTTACATTCACGGCGTTTAGCTGACTCGGATGTTCGGGAGCAACTGGCAATTAGTGCAGCAGGAGGAGAAGCTTTGATACGAGGTTATCAAACCGCACGAAAACGAGAGCAGCGAGGACAAAGGTCGGAGCTGCTGCGTTGGAAAAACAGTGTTCGTATTAAAAAAAAAAGGCAGGAAAAACCTGTCTGGGCTATACGGTGACAGAATAAGCAGATTTGTTACCGCAGGGATGCAAATGCTTTTAAATAGTCTAAACAAGCACATCATAAATAGATTAAACAGATTTGCTTTTGTGTTAACTCTCACATGGGTTTACTTTTTAACTTTTATTGTTTATTCTGTTTCTCGGATGAATGATGCTGCAAACATATTCCCATCTGCTTTAGTTAGAATCAAGCTTCTTGTCTTTTTAAACAAGTCTGCCATCCAAAGAGAAGTTTTGAAAGATTTGGCAGAGTTATGAACAAAAATATATAAAGCTCCAGGGTTACTGTGACACGCAGCAGCTTGAAGGAAAAGATTTGTTATAAAGTGCCTCATAAAACTGGAAGCATTTTGTAAATAGGGAAAGTCTCAGAGGGTGTGGGATTTACTTTTGGCCTTGTTGCCAGCAGGCGTGCTCCAGCGGGTGGTAGTTCGGCCGGGAAGGATCGAAGTCTGTCGGTCCCGAGGTCGAGTCGCTGAAAGAACGAAAGCAAGATCGAATTAGTGACGCTCATTTCTGTTCAATTAAAACTTAAAGCAGGGCGCACCCAAGAAAAAACTGACGACTAGAATATCCGTAAAGACACGTTCAAAGTTTTGAAAAGCTACGTAAATTTTAAAAAAGCTCAAGTATTTAAAAAGAAAAATGCATCTTTAAACACCATAAATAAGAGTGGGTTAGCATTTTATTCAATAATATGGTATCATTTGATTTTATTAAGAGCAGCCACTACAGCTGGGAACTTGCCAAAAAGCATGGCGGGCGATAACGATTTTTCTCGTCTCTGTCTGTTAGGAAAATATCTCACCAACCACTGGGTGGATCTCATTCACACCTGCAGAGAAATAATTAGATGAACTTCAACCGAATAACTTTTGAGCTCAACTTGATTCAAGTTTGCTAACTACAACATTTTTGTGCTTTTTCTAACTTCTTTCTGCTAATTTCAGATTGTTATGCTCCTTTCAGCTTATTTCTGCAAGTCTGATATTTCAGCTGCTGTATGTTAATTGTAGCTTGTTCAGCTAAGCTAATTCCACATATTTTGCAATAATTTCAACTTTTTCAGCCTAATTCAGCAAAAAAATGTGCTCTCTCCACTTCCTTCTAGTAAATTAAGCTTCTTTCTACTTTTTTAGCTTCTTTTCAGCCATTTTGCGTTTTGTTTTGCTTTTCTGCCCATTTCAGCTTTTTTCAGATAATTTCCACTTTCTGGTGCTCATTTCTGCTTCTTTCAATCTAATTGGTCAAACGTGTGTTCTTTCTGCTTCTTCTGCTAATTTAAGCTTGTTCCAACTTTTCAGCATTTTTTTTTAGCTAATTTCAACCGTTTTCAGATCAATTTAAGTTTTACATGTTAATTTCTGCTACTTTCAGCCTAATTAACTTAGTTCTGCTCATTTTAGCTTATGCTCCTTTTAAATTATTTTAGCTAGTTTCAGTTTTTCTTTTTTAATTTCTTTTTAAATTTTTATGCTAATTTCAGCTTTTTTCAGCTCTTTTTGGCAAGTTTCAGCTTTTTCAGCTACCATTTAGCTCTTCTGATTCAAATTTTAGCTTTTTCAGCTAATTCCACATTTTCTCAGCTAATTTCAGCACTTTCTGCTTCCTTCTGGTAGTTTAAGTTTCTTTCTACCTTTTCAGCTAATTTTCAGCTATTTCTTTTTTGCTAATTTCAGCTTCTTTTTTTTGCCAATTTCCTAAATTATTTCTCATTTCTGATTATTTAAAACTTAATTCAGCAAATATGTTTTCTTTCTGCTTTCTTCTGCTAATTTATTCTTGTTCTTCCATTTCAGCCACATTTCAAAATGTTTTTCAGCTAATTTCAGCCGTTTTTCAGCAAGTTCTTCTGCGATAAGCATTATTCACACTCATTGTCACAGGAAATTCAATTTATCTTGTTTAAATATGATTTTTGATTTAATTGTGGCTCTGATATGCACATTTTTTTTGTTTTACACAGATTAATGTTCCCGTAGAAAATCACACTTAATGAAATGCACAAAAAATAAAATGAAATAAAACACAAGGGACAAAAATACTGTTGTGGTTGTCTACAGTTTATATACACCTTCAAATGTTTGTTTTGCTTTAATTAGTCGCTGCGCAGTAATTAAAAGCAGCTAATAGCACACGTAATCACATCACATTGAGAGTTTTCCCTGCAGGCGACAACATAGATGTAGCGGAGCTGCACAGAGGATCCTAAAACCACAAACCTTTATTGATTTCCTGGTAAACTGATTTGTTTCGCTCCAAGTATTTTTTTATGTTTAGGTGGGGGCAGTGGTGTAGATGTACTCCTTGGTGATCTCTCTATAAATATGAGGCAGTTGATATTTCTTACACTTAAAAGTTTTTATAGAGAATTCAACAAGTGGTGAAAGTGTCAGCTTATAAAGCCGCACAGTTTCTTGGCCTGCGCATAAAGTTTACAGAACTGAGACAACTTAGGAATGTTTTTTTTTTTCAATTATGCAAACTTTGTTGAGATCTTAATAAATGTGGAATGTTGTTAAAAATTTAGCAGCAATTTGAAACAACTCTCTTTGGAGTCAACTTGTGAGTTCATAGATTACATGAGGAAGAAACCTTTAGCAGAACCAGGCTCAGGACAAGCGGCCATCTGCTTCGACCAGCTGGGTTTGGTAGGAACAGATACACAATGGCAGGTCCAGAATCACATGTTAGGATAGAAATAGTATCAAATGAAAACTATTCAATTTTAACAATTCATTTAAGGGAATTAGGTAAATTTGTCCTCTAGTAGTCTAAACCTATAGCATCATAACAAGCTAACTAACTATAGGATTTATCAAAAAGGAAAGTCTTAAAACTGGACAATGTGTCAGCCTCACGGACAGAAACTGGAAGTTGGTTCCACAAGAGAGGAGCCTGAGAACTGAAAGATCTTCCTCCCAGTCTGCTTTTGGAAACTCTAGGAACCGCGAGTAAGCCTGCAGTCTGAGAGCGAAGTGCTCAGTTAGGAAAATAAGGAACAATAAGATCTCGAACATAAGATGGACCTAGGTTGTTGAGAGCTTTGTAGGTTAGAAGTAGGATTTTGAATTAAATTCTGGATTTGACAGGGAGCCAATGGAGTGAAGCTCAAACTGGAGAGATATGATCTCTCCCACTAACTCCAGTTAAGACTCTGGCAGCAGCATTTTGGATCAACTGAAGACTTTTTAAAGAAGTATTTGGACATCCAGATAACAAACCATTACAATAGTCCAGTCTAGACGTGACAAATGCATGGACCAGTTTTTCTGCATCATTTTTAGATCAGATGTTTCTAATTTTAGTGATATTACGCAGGTGGAAGAAGGAAGTTCTAGCAACGTTTTTAATGTGGGGGATAAAAGACGTGTCCTGATCAAAAATAACACCAAGATTTTTAACATTAGAGCTGGAGGACAGATTAATGTCATCCATGGAGGACGAAAGACTGAAAAATTGTTTCCTAAGATGCTCGGGTCCAAAAACTAAAACCTCTGTCGTGGTTTTATTCAAAGGCAGAACATTTAGGGTCACACAGGTTTTTATGTCTTTAAGACATGCTTGTAGTCTAAGTAGGTGATTGGATTCATTGGGTTTCATGGACAAATATAACTGTGTGTCATCAGCATAACAATGAAGATGTATCCCATGCTGTTTAATAACTTTACCTAATGGAAGAATATACAAGGTAGAGTATTGATCCAAGCACTGAACCTTGTGGAACTCCATCACTAACTTTGGTGTATGATGAAGATTCATTATTTACATTTGCAAATTGGAATCTATCAGATAAATATGATTTAAACCAATTTAGAGACGTTTTAAGCCAAAACATGAACCATCCTACGCCATAAAGCAGCGGCTGAGATTGGCACTCATTAAACTGATTTGCAACTGTTTGTGGTGCTGACACTTATTGTGCTATATTAATTAGCTAATTAACTAAACGTGCTGTGAGAAACATGAATTGCTGTTAGTCTTGTAGTTGTAGATGTGACAAGTTAAGTCTGAACAGAAATAGTTGGGGTGGAGGGACATAAAATGGAAGTGGGTGATCGTACAGGACTGAATGGCAGCTGGGTGTTTGTGGTGGACTTCAAACTTGCCAAACAAAAATTCAATAACTACTTACAAATTCAGCCTTTTTATGCTTAAAATGTCCATCTGTACTGTGAAAGGTCAAACTGACCTTAAGGCTGTTTAGATTTCAATTCAACGACCGAGCTGCAGAATCTGATGGACAAATAAATCTAATTCATAAATGTACTACTTTTCAACCGTTAACAGGCCATCAGAGGGTCTTGTCTTTACAGCAAGGGGTGTTTTGGTACCAGTCATTAATTGTCTCACCCCATTTTGTCTTTACGCTCCTGCCCCAAGTTCTTCTTTTCTGTATTTGTCTTCTTCTCTCCCTCAGGGTTCGTCTCCGTTTTGCCCGTCTTCACTGCTGCTTTCCTGGGAGCTGCAGAAAAATAAATAAAGAGAAGGCGAGGTGTGGAGCAATGGGTTGATAACAGAAAATATTGTGCTATATTCTCCAACTGATAAAAGCAATTCAGATATTTTTATGCAAATTCCAGCTCACCAAAGAAACTGCTGATTGGGGGTTTCTTGGCCGGCTCCTTATCTTTCTGCTCCTTTGCCTCTTTCTGCTTTTTTCCAACCGTTTGACTTTTCGGGCTCCCTGTGTCTTGCGTGTCCTTTTCAACCCCCTCCTCTTTGGCAACGGCGGGCCCTTTCTCATCATCAGTCTTCTCCGTTGCTTCATTTTTCTTTCCCGCCCCCTCAGCTTTCTTTTCTTTCTCATCCGAGCTCTTCTTTTCTACCTGCTCCTCCTCCTTCTTGGCCTTCTCTGCTTCTCCTTTCTTTTTGTTCTCCACCTCCTCATCTGGTCCGTTAGCCTCGGTCGCTGCCTTTTCAACCCTTTCTTCCTCTGCTCCCTCCTCCATGGGTTCGTCGGTGTTCCCTACACAGGGGAGAACAGAAAGAGAGCGGAGTCATTGAAGACATAAATGCCAGCAGGTTTAGTGAGGGCAACCTTTTTTTTTTTTTTGGGCTGAGGCCATGTTTGAAGCTGCTTTCAACATAACAGCCTTCTTCAATAAATGCCGCAGGTGATATTTCTGAGCTTTTCCTTTTCATCCGAGACAGCCAGGTAGGAGGGAAATTACTATTGACAAACTTGTAGCACAAAAGTCCCAGCAGACAGAGAGGAGGTCATGATACCGGCTGGGTGAGGAGCTAGACATGAAAATTTCATTTTTTTCATCCGCACATTAAATTAAGTGCGGATTCTAACAGTATAGTTCATTTGTATTTAACGCCATCTGATTCGCTACAAAAATATAAAAGCAGAAAGAAAAGCCTAAATATTTATTGGGAAAATACTTTAGATTTTAAGAGCTCATTTGAAGTTATTAACCTAAAGTAGCACCTTCTGCTGCAACATTTTATGATCTTCATGCATCAACTTACCAGTTCAGGAGTTTATTTACACAACGAAAGGTAGGAGGCAAATGTCATCTAAACTGTTTACAGCCCTCCAAGCTACAACTGGACTCAATCTGGCATCAAAATTAAGATGTGCTGACATCTAAGGAGTCTATACTCGTAACATGAGTTCATGAGAACAAATCGAACAAAATAAATAAAAATGAGGCAAACTTCAGTTCATTCATTTCATGTCAATAGATACCTTTGAATTTTATGAACTACTGGAGAAATGTGTTCCTTGTTTTGTATCTGTAGCTCAGGAAATGAGAATAAATGTAGCCTGTACTTTATAGGTGCATCTAAAAAAAATTAGAATATTGTGAAAAAGTTCCATGTATTTTATCAATCATTTCAGAAAGTGAAACTCATAGATTTGTTACACACAGAGTGAAATATTTCAAGCCTTTATTTCTTGTAATTTTGAGGATTATGGCTTACAGACAATGACAAAAAATAAAATAAAATTTAGTGTCTCAGGAAAGTAGAGTATTGTGAAGAGGTTCAATCGCACCAAAATCAGCTGATTAACTTCTAAACACGAGCTACAAATGTCTCATTCAAGTTGAGCCACTCCTGAACCAGAGACAACGCCAGAAGCTGAGACAAAGAACTGGACTGTTGCTCAGTGGTCCAATGTCCTCTTTTCAGATTAAAGTATCATTTCATGTCATTCGCCCCCCCATGTCTCCGATTTGCTACAACCGTATGTTCCCTGAGGTCAGCGGACCAGTTGCTCCTCACAGTTCCAGGAACTCGTCTTAATGCCAGAGGTGACAGGGCCTTCTCTGTAGCAGGACCAAGACTTTGGAACGAGTTGCCTCTGGTTGTCAGACTGGCCCCCTCCCTCTCGGTTTTCAAATCCCGTTTAAAAACCCACTACTATTCCGTAGCTTTCAACACCAGAGGATCTGTTTTGAACCTGTATGCTTCACACTGGTTAGTCGTCATATTTATTATCTGCATCGTTTTTATGTCTATGTTCTGATTTACCTCATTTTGTATATTGTTTTGTGTGTTGCCTGTTTTTCTGTCTGTACAGCACTTTGCCTTGTCGCTGTTTTAAGTGCACTATAAATAAAATGGTATGGTATTTGGAAATCAAGGTCCCAGAGTCTGGAGGAAGAGTGGAGAGGTCCAGAATCCACGTTGCCTGAAGTCCAGAGTGAAGTTTCCACGGTCGGTGATGGTTTGGGGCCATGTCTTCTGCTGGTGAAATTTTAGAGACTTCATGCTTCCTTCTGCTGATGAGCTTTATGGAGATGCTGGTTTCATTTTCCAGCCGGACTCGGCTCCACACCGTCAAAGGTACCAAAAGCTGGCTGTGAAATATTCTCATTTTCTGAGACACTGAGTTTGTGTTTTTCAGCCATAATCCTCAAAATTATGTGAAATAAAAGGCTCAAAATATTTCACCCTGTGTGTAATGAATCTATAGATGAGTTTCACTTTCTGACATGACTGACAAAATAAATTTAACATTTTCACGATATTCTAATTTGTTGAGCCGCCTCTTTAGATCATTTTCAGATCCGAACTCGTAACGTAACTCCTAACTAAGAGAGCTGTCTGTGATGAAACTATGTTATTGCCACATTAAAATAGTCACTTAAGGAAACAAACTTATATATTATGTTGTTTTGCGTTTTCTAAAAAATAAACAAAATTAAATAAAAAAGTGAAGTCTAGTTTTTTAAAGTGGAAAAGACAATGAGATGATGAGTCATTCACATCACTTCATCTGATGCCCTGAAAGAAAATGCACAATAATCAACAAGAGTATTTTAGTCTATTGTATAAACGTACCAGATTTAGCAACACAGGCTAATTTTCTTCTGCAAACTCTAGCCGGTATTGCATCAAATCAAAGAATAAACAAACTATTGCTCCCATCACTGGTTCAAATCAAGCCAAATATAAAATCATTAGAGTCCTTCAGAAGAGTTTAAATCCTAATTATCCTCAGTAAGCCCCTGAAACGGTTTCTCTGATCTAAAACAAAATGTTAGCGTGCACACACCACAACAGCAGCAGGTGCAGCTTTACTTCAGCCCTTATAGAGCGCTCGGTCCACGTCTTTGGACTAACACTATTAATTATAGATAACAAAATAATTGTTGAGTCATGTGATGTTTGGATGCAACTAAAGAACATTTTTTTAATCATTAATCCACTACAGTTTTAGTCAGTCTTTCTTTTAAATGCAAGCAAATTAAATTATAGACATGTGTGAAAAACTCATGACATGTTCACTGCGACTGACACCGTTTCCTTCTGTTGTCGAAAGCTGCATCAGTTTTACTAAAGAAGAGAAACATTTGTGTGTTTTGCCCTTTTTATTGTTTTTGTACGTCTTTTGCAATCTAACTGCTTCAGCATGCTTTGTGCAATTTTAGCCATTTCATAAATCAAAACAGTTGGTTCATTCAAGAAATGGTGCCGTGACTTTTGTTTTTTGTAACTTTATATTTAATTGTATTTACAAATATTTCCTCCATCTAATACATTGAGATCTCTTCAGTTTCTTTAAAATTACTGTTCTATTTGAAATCCATTTCATTTTCATCTAGTTTTACTTTTCTTATGATACTTTTAGCTTTCATATTGCATTTGGCTACTTTTAACTTGCTGTTTTCTACTTTTAGCTTGAATTTTGCTACATTCAGCTTGCAT